CAGTCTAAAAATGTCAATCATATCCTAATCAAACTAACAAAGCTCCTATAAATTATACCTGTGACATAACACAAACAAATGTTCAAAAGATCTATATATCCAAAATATGTATTATAAACTCAATGTATGTTTTTTTATTTCAGATTATTACATTTGTAAATCTTGTAATGAACTCTTTATGAGAATAATAAACCAGGAATTAACAAGCTGTGATGTTGCTCAAGCTTCAGGATTATCTCAACCAGGCCAAAGAACAGTTTTTGATAATCCTTCAGAAAAGCAAAGACAGATAAATGCTATATTATACAAACAAGTTCACAACCATCACATATTCATGTTTCTACATTGTTAATCATTTGCCAGTATAAAACTTGATACTATTACTCTAGATTATTTCTCTTTTGTATTTTAGATGTAAATTATTATATCTGTTATTAATTGACTGATGCTTTAATAATTTTAACCACAAATAATAAATAATCGATTTTTTTAAAATATATTTTTAAGATGAATAATAATTATTGCTTTATTACTTGTTTGTAGATAGTTTTCTTTTGTAGATATCATCATCTGATAGAATATGCCATTCATGCTGGATGAGTTGTAAGAGTGCTGCCACACATATTAGGCATGTTGCTGAAGTTTGTGGTGTTTCTACTACTGAAGATAATTTATTTTTTATGTTTCTGAGATTAAGTTATTAGTGAACTTATACTATTTGCATTAGGTACCAAATAAGGCAAGCCAAATCCTATTATGGCGAACATATTCGCTTTCATGGATCATATAGAATAGAAATATGTAGGGATACGGGAGTTTTCTAGGAATAATCTGAATGGAAGTGGTGACATAACACTAATAAGAGGAAAAATTAAGTCCTGGCACATTTAAAGAAATGATAATATTGTTTACATCATGTTTAATATATAATATAATATTGTTTATATTATGTCTACATTTTAATAGAAAATAATGTGTCTGGCAGAGCTAGTATAGTCGAATACTGTTGTAATTGTTTAGTTAGTCGAACCATAGGATGTTGCACTCATGTTATGACTAGTGTGGTACTTTGGATGAACTATCAAGAAAATATCTCTGTTATAGCAGAATTTCTGGATACCATAGTTATAAGACATTTAAGTGAAGATGATGATAATTAATAAAGTATTCCACTGTAACATAGTGTTTTATTTTTTCCCTCGTTTTATTCATCAGGTATTATAATTATCGATTATTATGTATTGTAGTGCAGGCCAATAAAATGTGTAGGGCAGATAAATATCACTTTTAACTTACGTTTTTTAAGTAAGTACTTATGTGAGCTGTTGAAATAGCGGATAATGCTCTTCACTCAATTTATAGTGACAAAAATCGAGTCTAAGCAGTGACGTAAGGGTAGTCGGTTTCTAGGAATTCACAAGTAAAGAAGACATTTTAGACCTTAGATAGGCTAATATTATTATTTTAGAATAAACTTGAGCGTAAATAGTTAGTTCTAGCACATTTATTTCGTTATATTAGGTAACTGCAAATCCTAACCTAAAAAGTAACATTTTTTTTAATAATTTTTGGACTTCGTAGACCAGCAATCGTAAAAATTACTATATGATATTAATTTACTAACTTAAAGGTAGTCTTTCTGCTATACCTTGTAACTATACATACACTTTCATTATCAGGTTTTTAAATGTATGGGAAGTGGGCATTGTTCTTTAAAAAATTAGCACTTAAATTTTGTTTACGTGTCCTCCCTAAAATTTAGGAATCGATGGTGAAAACGAGCAAAAACCATTCAAAGCTATTAACGTTCTTCTAAATAGGATGAGGGTGGGAACTCTCTAGCTCAGGCAGGAGCTGCAATGTGAACTATGGTATCTAAAGTTGACTTTCGTTCTTAAAGTTCTTCGCGACCACGATTTTCCATAGATTTCTGGTTTTGTATATTAAATCATATTTAAAATAAAATCGTGTCTGAAAGTTCGATTCTCTATCAAATATCTTTCTGTTTTTTTTTTACTACCAGGTAGCGCTTTACTTAATGTACAAAGCGACACGAATAAATAAAAAATTCCCATCCATCGCTAAGCTAAGAATTTTTATCATAACTCATTTCATACTTCGGCGCGAACACACGACCGCACCGCATTATCTGCGCGGACTTATCTGTTTTTATACACTGTATCAATATATGATTACCCTTATTTATTTTCTTGTGAGCGCTCCCGCCGCCGCGTATTTCGCCGAGGGAGCATCATCTCTCTCCGTGATTGATTAATCTCCGCGACGGGGCCCGCATCGATCGGAGCATTAATATCACGCGACGAAATATATGTCTTTAACAGTTTCACATTTTCGGGCATGCCTCGTCCAAAGTCAATAGATAAGATATCGCAGTGAAAGATATTACTGTACTTTCTTTCACCTTTTGAATAGAGAAACATTAAATAAAACGAGGCAAACGCAAATGTGATTATTTATTTCGATTGTAATCGATAACCTTTCTTTTGACGTATATTGAACATGAGTAAATAGCGCTTCACTTAATTGACCTCAAAGGAATAAGTCGAAATGTTTCTTTTTATTTCTCTCTATTTCGGTTATCGTTTCATATTAAATATCCCCTAGCTCCACAACCGCCGCGTGAACAAGATATTTGCTCCCTTATATTTCTATCGTTCTTAGATGTGGGCGTGTGTTTACTTTAAAGGTATTTTACTTGGAAACGAGATCTCTCAACTGCTTTTGCTTAAGTCCTTTGATATCGTTCTCTTAGCTCCGGGTAAGTCCTTTGTATGTCCCATTATATTGGAAAATGTACTTTTTATTTGCAATATTACTTTTACTTATTATTTACCGGGTAGGTACCACGACCTCACAGAAGACCAGCGTAAAGTGGAAGTACGACAAAGAGCCCAATTTTCAAAAGGTTGTCAACGCATCTGTAACCCTCGGTTGTGGCAAATGTCCATGGGCGACGGTATTCACTTAACATTAGGTGAACCGTCTGCTCGTTTGAGACAGACAAACAAAAAAATCATGTCTTTTGTATGGCAGATGAACGAAGACGGAACTTAAATATTTTTTATTGTTTTTTAGTATTTGTTGTTATAGCGCAAATAGAAATACATCACGGGTACGGAACCCTAAAAGCGACGAACCCCGATTACCTCACCGGTGGGTTGCCACAGGCGAAGCACAATATAATACATATTATACTTCTACTGCTCCTCTGTGAGGCCGTGGGACTTCCCCAGACGGGCCTATGCAGCACTGAAGCGGTTACATGGCCCTACCACAGTTGATAGATTGTTAGTTTTTTTAAAGGGTTGCAACGCATCTGTCTTATGTTGCATAATATCTATGGAGGGCGGTAATCGCTTAACATCAGGTGAGTCCACTTGCCACCTTTTCACATAAAAATTACTTGGAACAAAAATACTTGGCGTAGTTACGTTACGATTTAAAAGAAGCGATGTTGTCATAATAATACGGACCGCGCAGCGATCCTTTTTTTACTGTCAATCAGACCAATTGAATAATAAAGTTAACATAATGACGTATGCTTTATAAGATGTTTGCACAAATACCCATTGTTGAAGTGAATAATAACTGTAAGAATTGAAAATAGGAACGTTTGTTATCACGTAATTATTTATGTTACTTATGGAACTTCATACCTATTATGTTAATGCCTTTTGGCTCTAAATATAATTTATTTTTTGTGTACTTTATTAGTTAGTTTCTGAACAATTTATTTTATGTTTACTAATTGTTTAGTTTCCAAGGTTAGCTAGACTCTGACGTGAATAAATAATCTGCCTTCCCCAAAATATATTCATAAACTTATGCTTATAAACATATATTAAAGAGTGCAAAATGGCTACCGAATGTTTTCACGAACATGTATTTAAGTGATGCAGTCACGACAGATTAAATCGCACATCAAACGAGTGAGCGATGTTTAAGCGGGAAGAAGGAAACTCAAGTTGAGTTTTCATCGGTCTGTGGCTTTCGTGTTTCGACTGAGTGCACGGCGGCCAATGCGGCGGTCTCGCTAATGGACCGGTTGTGCCGGCGCTGTCTGAACGTCGGGCAGCGCTTTTGTTTGTTTTCTACGCTTTTGGCGCTGCGTGTTTTTTGGGCGCGCCGCTTCGTAAATTTCGTCCGAAAGACAAACGTGGGTTTTTAAGTGCCCAAAAAGCGGCTCCCCAATGAGCTCCGAGTTTCAAACTCGCCGGGGGAAACGTGTGGCCTTTTTGCCCTCTGTTGAAACAGGCACTGAATTTTAGGCAGTTTTTTTTTCAATTCCTGTGGTAATTTTAAAGTAAATGGTACATGCGTGCTGGCAACTAACAAACCTATCGCAATAAAACTATAAGGGTATACGCTTTTCTTATTCTGTATACGGTACACGCTCAATTGTTTCCTTTTATATGTCAAGTCGAGAGGTCTACCCTGACCTTTGGTCTTTTGCCAACAGCTTCTTCCGCCTAGACACTATTGTTCTGCTCTGGTGCCTCTTGTTTTTTCTTCTGATAACGTTGTTGATAAAATTCGTTGTGCGGTCAATAAAATGCAAATCAAACATAAGCAACACGTATAGTTTATTTTTGCGAAGCTCATGTGCACTGGGAATCCCGTGACAATAAGGAAAACAAAGTTTAATTACCCTTTACGTTCTGATTTAGTAATATCAATATTGTCGTAAATTGTGATTAATTTTATACTAGGAGTATATTTATGACATTTGGAAGTATTGTATACTCTTATGTACCTTCATAAGAATTCAATAAATTATGTTGGGACGAATAATATTGCGGTATTAAATTTAGTCTTGACGCATCTTTACAAAATCCGATTAACATTATATTTGAGTGAGTGTGCTCAAATCGTAATTGTCAAGGCTTTACAAGTAGTAAATTGTGAAACCACCGTTTAAACAAATATTGGATGAACGATGAAACAACCGACAAACAATTTAAAGCCGTTATTTTTTCCAGGGCTTAACCTGGAGGCGGGTTTCATGTCGCCGATGTCGCCGCCGGAGATGAAGCCCGACACTGCAATGCTGGATGGGCTGAGGGACGACGCGACGTCGCCCTCTGCGCTCAGGTCCTACCCCCCCAACCACCCGCTCAGTGGCTCTAAGCATCTCTGCTCGATATGCGGTGACAGGGCATCTGGGAAACATTACGGCGTGTACAGGTACAGGACAAGTGAATTCTTTAATTCTTTAAGTGCGTAATACATTTAATTATAGGGATGCCACGCAGCAGCTAAATCTGTTGCACGGATGGTAAAGCTCATCCGGGGAAGTAACCGGACTTTATTAATGTTCTCAGTGCATCTAAAATCCCTAATGTAGATGTAATGTCTAAGTAATAAGATTCACATCATATTAAACATTTCACATCATATTAACGTAGCTTAAGTGATGAGATGATGGGGTCAACCGCCTGTTCACTCGACAGCTTGTCACCTAAAAAAAACTTCATGCTATAATATCTTCTTCTCTTTAGTGGCCATGCCTGTGAACGCAAGACAGGAGTTGGTAAAGGTTTCTTGGACTTAACACGATAAACGTATATTTAAATAAGTTTACATAACGCCTTCGGCCTATGTAAAGGTCTTTTGTGAGCTCTGTGGACTGTGACCTGCGAACGACTACCCCAGTCGAGCTTGCCTATTCGTGTAATAGGAGCTGTTATTTAAGCTGTTTTTGCACTATAACATGTTGCGGATAAAGCTTAATTTGTCTTGGTAGACAGTAATTCTTTCTAATAAAGGGCCTAGCTAATATAATTAATAAAATAAAAAATAAAATATTAACTGCTTCGTTGGATTAATTGATTTTCTTTTTATTACCACTGTTTTAGTGTCTACTGTGAACGTTTCTTAATAATTCTACTGCGACATCTTTTTATGAGCCACTTTAACGTTTCAAATAATTCACTTTGATAAAATTTAATATCCTCATGAGTCCCGCCCTGATATATTTCGCGCAAGCTATTACGTCTGAGCATTGTTCGGAGCGTAATTTGGTATAAGAAGATGGGCCATCGATCAATTGCTGTTAGTCGGCGGATTTATAAATTTCACAACACAAATTTGAGCAAATAATTTTCGCACGCTATCGGGTGAAAGTTTAATGTCATTTTCATGGTAATAATATTAAACAAAAAAAAAATTTGTCGGATCTGCGATAACAAGAGGCGTCATGCAATTTAAGGATTCATGGTGGGTAATTTTGTAGAGGGTTTATTATTATCGAAGTGTATAACTTCTCTTAGGACATTATCGGTTACGGGTGATGATATGCATAATGCGTTTCAAATAAGAATAGGAAATTTTATTACGCGATCTGTCACCTGTCACTTAAAAATGTACGGCTTGCAAAGACAATTAATTTTCCACTTTTAAAGTTTTTTTTAAATCTTTGAATGCTTCGATTACCAGTGACGATTGGCAGAGAGAAATTTACCACGTCAGATAAATTGAAATGACAACTTTATTGATAACTTTAGTTTTACCAATAACCCAGCGTATAAAATACCTTTTTAAAATATAAAATACCGATTTATAAAATACCCAGGTAATAAAATACCTTTTTTTTTAAATAATATCCAGTAGTATATTTTAAATACATACATAAATACATTTTCTATTTTTAAAGGGGAAAGCAGCAATTATGATGATGATGTTGAAGTTGATGACTACTCGAACAATAATGCAGAAATAAGCGAAATTGATGCACAAGATTCCGAACAAAACTTTTTCTTTCATGGCTTTAATACAAAATGTCTTTTTACTAAATATTAGTCGTGAGTTCTATTAGATAATTGTTTTTAATCTGGGTGTTTCCTACGTGAAATTTATGTAACTAAAACAGGACTTTCAACGCAGGATATTATATCCTATAGTAAGGAAGCAATGTTAAAAAATAAGAAATAATATTATTTAAAAAATATGTTTTTTTGTTCGTTCTACCTAACTGGTTTCAATTGACAGCTATGATATCACAAGATGGCGCGTGGTCAGTTCTATTCTTATTTGAATCGTAATTTAAATATGGCAACGTAGATATTCATTGAGGTTATTAATCGAAATGTCTGGATAAAACGCTTTGTGCTGACAGCAACGCAGTTCACTTGTTTTTATTAATCTATCGAGACAAGTCGCTCTCGCCAAACTGACGCTGGTATCGTTTGCATACAAATGCCGCGCTGTTACTTAGTTTATGAATCTAGAACAGTGTTTTCTCATTACATAGACGCCAAGTCTAGTCTGCTAAACGTAGCCTTCGTCATTGGGACCAGCGAGAATATATTCGTAGTTATATTTATTGTTAAACAAATGTATTTCGAACGCCATGGGTGGCGTACCTAAACTAAAATGTTTGTATCGTGTACAATAAAACAATTGGGAGCTCGATTTAATTCCGCTAACGATTCAACTCATTCGCGCATATTACGACGTGGGAGGTAGCACGCAGTACATCGCAAACTGTCCCCGTTTCATACAATCCGTGCTTTATACGTTAATACCTTGATGGAGAAAAAAAAACACATTTACAATTCCATCGGATCGGTGGCCGTCCGTAATGTCATTCACAAGACATTTCATTTTCACCTTGGGAATAATTTACGTTGACGCGGGGGCAGGTAAAATGGATCATGGGTGTCAGGAGTGAATTATTTTAGAAATACTCCCCGCTTTATTTTCGTTGACACGTCGCTTCGTCAGTGTGTTCGCCAGGTAGAAGATATTAAGACAAACAATAGATGACAAATTCACCAGTATAAACTAAATTGTTTTGGGCGGGCGCCTTAATAATTTTATAAATACGTAAGTTAATGTTAAATGGCTTTTTTTACTTTTTACATTGTAAAGAAGAACAAATGGAGAATTAGATATTTATCTCTATTATCACGGCTAAAAGCTAATATTATACAGCTATAAAATAAATAACAATCAAGCGGAGTAACCACAATCGTATTTTTGTACCCATTTCTTTTTCCCCAAACTAACAAAAAAAAATTACCGTAACTGTTGGACTAATATGTGACGATAAATAATTTTGGTAGGTTGAAAAAGCTATAAATTACGATAAGACTTCAATAAGGTTACCATCCGCATGGATCAGTATGCTGTATGCTTTAAAAAATAAACGCTTTCAATGAAGTAAGTAGCTATTTTTACGTAGAAGATGGCAAGCGAGCTGGCAGTTCACCTGATAATCAAGTGAAATCCGCCGCCCATTGACCCGTAAGCAATATTTTGCCATGTATACAAAAAGTGGTTCCCAGTGCCCTCACTCACCAGGCGAACGTAGGAGTACAATGCTTTCATTTGACGCTTGTCTTCGGTGAGGTCGTGTTACTTACCCGGACCGACCTGCCGATTCGTGTAATAGCGAAGACTGTTACGTGGGCCTACTACAGTTAAGCTGTTTCAATCTGGTGTACGTAGATCGGAATAAATTGTTTAAATTGTTTAAAGTTGATGGTAGCCGGGACAAACTATGAAATTTTGAACGAAAAAATACCTAAGTCTGTCCGGTAACCATATACTGTGAAAATTTTACGAAACGTCGGAAATGAAAATTAAACTTAAAAATTCATAAAACTACTATGCATACTACATTATTCGAGTAAATTTAACAAATTATTGTTTCAATCTATTTCAACGTAGTCGCTTTTCATAGTACACACTAATATTATGGACAAAGAGTTTGACTTTGCTATTAAGGAAAGTTAGGATATACAAACATGGGAACCTGACTTATTAACATGCATTGCACATAGTAATTACATATGCCAACCCGTGTCGGCTGTCAACGCTAAAAGCGAATGATTAATCATGCAAACATTAATTTAATGCGCATGTAAAAAAAGAATTTCGAAAATCCTCTGGGCCTGTCTTACATTTGTATAGGAATAATTCTGTTAAATAATGTTGAGGAAGCGACAACGCTTTGTAAAATTCCTTAGTTGAGAAATATATGCATTTATCTTCAGTCAGATTATACAGTTATTGTAAAAACTCATTGAATATTTAATTAGCCTTTAAATTCAATTAATTTCCCACATCTACAATGATGCATATGTGATGACGCCTCCGTATTAGCCTCGTGTCTATGTCTGTGTTCCGAACACAATGACAATTTACATTATTTGAAGCGTTTTAAATACCTATAGGAATTTTTGGTTTTCTTGAAAATGGAACGTACGACCACACCGTTTACCTGATGAAGTGATTATAGAATGGCAATCAGCAATATCCATGAATTTGCATTTGTGCTGCCTACTTTTAGTATCGTATCGGGAATAGGTATAAACTGATATTTCACGGCTCAACGTAGGAAGGTATTAAAATAAAATTCGCCCGCGAGAAAAAACGAATATTGCTTATCTAACTTTTTTTTTTATGCGAAAAGTTGTCAAACGAGCAGACGGTTCACCTGATGTTAAGTGAATACCGCCGCCCATGGACATCTGCCACACCCGAGGATTACAGAGGCGTTGACAACCTTTTGAAAATTGGGCTCCGGTTACCTCACTCACCAGACGAAACGCGAAAGTATTTGTCATACTTTCACTTTACGCCGGTCTTCTGTGAGGTCGTGGTACTTACCCGGACGGGCCTGCCCATTCGTGCAACAGCCGTACCACCATAAAACCTACTCCTTGATACATATAACCTAAAGGATTGGGTTTGAATTATCACATGTAATGATTTCTATGCAACGAAGATTCCAACTGTCTGAATGTGGATGAATGTTTCATGCTCGTGTTTACAACTGCATCCAGGTGTAGCTGATGAAAGTATGTTAAAATTGTTGACACACTCGAGATGTCGGATTCGAAACTCAGTAGCAAATTCTTACATGTAGGAATTACATTCTAATTTAACACGTTTGAAACTTTGTCGATTTTAGTTTATATTATTTAGGATTAAAATATCATAAATGATGACAGCATAATATGTGGGTTAATGAACGCCACAAGTTTTTCGTAATTGATAGTTACGGTACATAAGAACGTGGATGTCATCCCCTTCTTGATATCAATCAGTTTATTGCTGGTGGAATAACAATATAATTATGTTAAATAAATTGGTATCTATGAAACTAGGAACGTTTGAATAGATAGGCATTCGTTTGTACAAATTACTTTTTGAAAATGAAGCGAGGCTGGGATTTAACAAGTAATTGATCGGCAGGTGCCCATATCACTAGGCAATGTTTCTTTGTCATTTTAAAACTTGGTTACAAAATAATGTGTGTGTTTATGTACGCACGTAATAAGTCAAACTTGTATAGCGTAACAAAAAACCAGCTAAGTGCGAGTCGGATTTGCGCACGATTGATAACAGAAACATATAAATAACGCAGAGAATACAGAAAGCTATGTTTCAATCATTAGATAGTAATAGAGAAAATGCCCTTTTTCTAGGCGTCTCATCTAAAAATCGAGTTTTGGCTTATGAGCCCATATTACTTGAAGATTAGCTTACGTATTGCTATAGGAATCTGTCTGGGGGCACCGATTTGTCAACCACACCAATGCCCTTGTGGTGTCAAGTCTCCACGGGGTTTCTTGTCAAATAAGTGCTGGCCGCTTTTCCCGTCACGGTTCACTGAACGACATCATTCGTGTGGCTCTTGTTTCCATCAGTGTTCCTTCTATTTTAGAGCCCTGTGGCATTTTAAAATAGCTTGGAGTTATAGGTTGTGTGTAATGTCAAAAAGTTGTTATTGGTTGCCATGGTAATACCGTGAAATTGGTCCAAGTTGGTCGCTTTGCAACCAACTTCATTATGTCGCTTTTTAATTGTAGGGGTGGGTGCACATCGTAGAAATTTTATATGCATACTTTTACCAAACGAGCCAAAGGAATAAATTAAAATGATATAAAACTAAAACTTCAATCAATCGTTCTCTTTGTTGTAAAACCCGTCGGAGTCGTGTAAAATCGATTGATTTTCGTTACGGTGAGCATTCGATTGAATATTTTTGATTCCTCGAAATTCCTTTGTTCAGTGTTGCCGTAGCCGAATCCTACCGAGTCCAATTAATAGCCATTTGTCTCGTTTCAGCCATTCGGACGTCCACAATGCCTGTTGAAATTTATTCGCAGCTGGATGAGAATATCTTGGTTCCATATGTGAATAAAATTGTACCATAATGCGATATTCAATTGTAATTATAATATAGAACGGCCGGCAGTTTCAAGGTCGCAAGGACTTTTGTATCGATTAGTGCTTGTATGTGGCCTATTGGTAATAATAATTGAACCTGGTAAAAGGCGAAGTGAAAATAATTCTGATAACCTATCTATTTACGTACGTACCTACTGTGGTCTCATTGTAATTACTGATTAAGCGTTTATTATTGAAGTGTGTGGTAGATAAACGTCAGCATCGTTGCCTTTAATAAATGGCCCGCAAATCAAATAAGTCTGTAATGGATATGTTTTATTTAATATGTGTACGAATTTCGTGTATCCGGTGGATCTGGTTTCGATGTACAATAAAATTTGAATATAAGAATATCATTTTCTAAAAAGTAAAATGTTAATTGCCTTTATTACTTTTATCTTTTATGTTTTGCAAGCGTTATTATTATTTACAGCGTTTTATTTAAAATTTACATCGTTAACAATAGCAAAGAGCCCTCTGTTAAAAAGACGAAAAAGAGTTATCATGAACCATTTGTAAATCTAAATTGTTATCTGATTAATTTGTTTAACTTTCTCCTAATGTTTGATCAAGCAAATTGCTGTTTACCGAATCAAAAGCGCGCAGTATTCGGGGAATCCATCAAACTTTCCAGATTGTTCTAAACAACAACGCGAAGTACACCGCAAACGAAATCGATTGTACCTATTAGTACCGCACTGTTCACAGGCGCGTCTGAATTTTCTAATAGACGGCAATAACGCTGAATTGATTCGCGTTGCATATAAGCATTCGATGTAACAACGAACTATAAATTCATAAATCAATTTTGCCATCGGCCTTTCGTCATCATATTAAGACGGGCAATAAACCGTTGACTTTGTGAACGGATAACGTCACTTGTTAGGTTATTTAAGTAACACAAAGAGGCGTAAACAACGATGGAAGATTGAATAAAATTGATTTTTTTTAATACAGCCTTGCTATTACTCTGTCAAATAACGATAGTGTGACATGCGATTTATTATTAAACTATCTTTACAATCTACCATTTAAAATGTATTTACTTTTATGAGGGTTACGTTATCCTTTCGAATTATTGTTAAAAATACATTAGATGGAGTAACGACCTGTACAAATGCGCGGCAAGTCAATTGATGCAGGTGGTCCAGGATCGGGCTTCGTGGTAGTCTGTGGGGAGGCCGTTCAACAGTTGACTTCGACAGGCTGATATGGTGGTTAATGACGAATACAATCTTGGCAGACTACGTAATGTAATGGATTCATTTAAAGCAAGACTAAGCCGTGAGAGTAAACCTGGATTCATCGCTAGGTAGACGACAATCGATATTTTTGCTGCCTACCGATATTAGGTTACCTTTTTAAGTAAATTAACAGCCGAATCAGCGCCCAGGGCATGACGCGACCCCTATTTTCTTTTAATAATTTTTTCGAAAATATTGAGATTTTCTCACGACGTTTTCCTCCACCGTCGAGCACGTGATAATTCAGCATTTAAAATCAACAATTTCATTGGTGCTTGCACCGGAGATCGAACTCAGGTTGCTCGAGTAAATGTGATTAAATTCGAGCGCCCGGGCAATGAGCTATCACGGCTTCCATTTTCATCGGTCTAATTCTCTATTCCAGCTGCGAGGGTTGCAAAGGCTTCTTCAAGAGGACGGTGAGGAAGGACCTCACGTACGCGTGTCGCGAGGAGCGGAACTGCATTATAGACAAGAGGCAGAGGAACCGCTGCCAGTTCTGCCGCTACCAGAAATGCCTCGCCTGTGGCATGAAGCGGGAGGCCGTGCAGGAGGAGAGGCAGCGGGCCGCGCGGGGTGCGGAGGACGCACACCCCAGCAGCTCTGTCCAGGTAATCATACAATAAGCGCCCTTTTACCATCATCATCATCATTTCAGCCTGTTTGAGTCCACTGCTGAACATAGGCCTCCCTCACAGACTGCCACGAAGCACCGGCATCCATCGATGCAAACTTGCACCGGTCGACACTCCATCTAGTGGAGGGTCATGCTACACTGCGATGCTGCCACTCAAGAACCTTTCTTCCGCATCGATTATCGGTTCTACGAGCTATATGGCCGGCCCATCGCCACTTCAGCTTGCTAATATTTTGAGCTTCGTGGGTTATCTTTGTTCTAATTTAGATGTATTCGTTACCCTTCCAACCGACTTCAATAAAGGTATTCAGTTCGGTTTTTTGTTTGTCAACTTAGGACTATGTCATTTATGAACCGGTTTTGGAAATCCTTTTTGCATTGGATTCGGTTTAGCTTCCATGTTTCCGAGATTCAGATTATAAATGTACATATAAACAAGAATTGCTCGTCTAAAGGTATTAGATTTCTGTAAACTTTTTCGCTTGCCACGGGGAATAAATCCATAATAGCTAAATTTATTTTTGTGTGTAAAGATATAAGAAACTAATTTTATTATTTTTATGCTATTAGGAACGTTACATGTACAAGTTATATATCAAAGGATTTTTTGATTGAAAGTTAATTTATTTCTATTTGACGATATAAACATTATAGATATAAAGTCAACCTTTAGCACGAGCCGTGATAGCCCAGTGTCCGCTCGCCTTTATTTCAATATACTCGAGCAACCTGCCCCGGTGTCGGCACCAATGAAATGGTTTTTAAGTGCTGACTTATCGTGTTCAGCAGTGAAGGAAAACATCGTGAGGATACCTGCATATTTTCGAAATAATAACTAAAAAAGATCGAAGATATGTGAGTCCGACAATCCGCAGTGGGTGGATTTATGCCCTGATAACCTGTACATATACAGGCTGTTACTATACTTTACTTTAACAACCTTTAAAAAATAATCAAAATGTAATTTACATAACATTTTCTAAATAGACTGAAGAATAATACATTTTTTTCACTGTTTGATTGTTTCACTGTTTGAACGTAATTACAAACGACAGAGTAACCGCACATTGCGAGGGTAATTTTGATGAATGTCTAGAACGTAATAAGTTATTACCACTCTTTTCGTGGAAATATTATGAACTTCTCAGATCGGTAAAAGCAACTAATTTTGCTTTGTCCCGTCTGGGCTATAAGTGAGTAGATTACTATGTAAACTAAGACTATCTTCATTATTGTTGCGTTTTATTTCCGGAAAGTAAACTACGTAGGCAGGATGATAAGTAACTAGCCATTGCTATTTAAAAAGTTAAAATTAAAAAAATATATGTCATTTTTAAATTCGTATCTCTGGCCACCTGTGTTCTAAATTTGAATTAGGTGGCGTGAAAATTTTATTGTTTTTTTGTCATTTGAAAATATATTTCGTCAACTATTTTCAAAATGGATAAAATTGAACAAAGAGCGGTGATAAAGTTTCTTCATATGAAGGGGATGAAGACGAAAGATATCTATGACGAGTTAAATAATGTTTTGGGTGAATATGCTCTTTCTTATGCCACAGTAAAAAACTGGGTGGCTGAGTTTAAACGCGGTCGTACATGTGTCCAAGATGAAGCCCGCCCCGGACGTCCAAAAAGCGTTACGACTCCGGAAATGGTCGTGAAAGTACATGATATGGTTTTAGCAGATCGACGAATGAAGTTATCTGAAATAGCTGACACTACAGGTATCTCAAAAGAACGGGTACATCATATCCTAAGTGAGGAATTAAATATGAAAAAGTTATCGGCCCGTTGGGTGCCGCGATTGCTTACGCACGATCAAAAAAGGATTCGGGTGCAAAACTCAAAAGAATGTCTGGACCGTTTTCAGAGTAATAAGGCCGATTTTTTACGTCGATTTGTAACAACAGATGAAACATGGGTTCATCATTACACGCCAGAATCAAAAATTCAATCAAAACAATGGACTCAATCGGGATGCCCGGCTCCAAAAAAAGCCATGGCTGTAAAGTCGGCTGGAAAAGTGATGGCTTCCGTCTTTTGGGATGCAGATGGGATTTTGATGATAGATTACCTTGCTAAAGGTCAAACAATTAATGGTGAATACTACTGGTGAATAATACTGAATTGAAGTATGATTTGCTGCCTCACCCACCTTATTTGCCTGATCTAGCGCCATCAGACTTCCACTTATTCCCTAAGCTCAAAACTTTTTTGGGCGGGCAGAAATTTGCCACAAATGATGAAGTCGATAGCCGCCGTAGAGGAGTATTTTGCAGGCCTCGAAAGAAATCATTTTCTGGAAGGCATTACTGCTTTAGAACGAAGATGGAATAAGTGTGTAGCGGTTCACGGAGAGTATGTCGAAAAATAAAATTAATTTTATCACGGAAAGTTAAGTGTTTTCTTATTAGGCTAGTTACTTATAATCCCGCCCTCGTAATGTAAACAAGCAGTATTGATATTGTGAAAATAATTTACGTAAAACAATTCTTAATAAAATGTTATGCAAAAAATCTGAATAATATATTTATAGTACCTAACTATAGAGAAAAAGAGAACAGTCGTCATAGTGCTTTACGATTGTTACCCGGGGCAAGCGATGTTTGAGACATTATTCTGCATTGCAAGGCCTTTCGCAAACACGGATTAAATGTCGATCGAGACGATCACAGAGAACCGGAGTGATAGTTTTCCCGACGTAGAAATACAATTCCCTGGTGGGAAATGAACGTATGATCCGCTACGTCGAATAGCTCGATAACTGCGCCAAATGAGCCTTAATTTTAATTCCTAATTCTCTACTTTTAAAATGATAAACAAAACTTTAATATTTGTATTATTTTATTTTAAGATATTTATATTAAATATCAAGTGTTCATCCACATGCGCTTTAAAGAAAGACATTGAGATGTAAACTTTACATTGCATATTAATCTACGTATTGACAAATATTTTGTATAAGTAGAAAATAAATATGTATTTAATCAAATATTGCCTTAACACGCTCTACACGGGACTCTTTGCCCCCTTTACAAAGAAAACAAACAATCAAACCTATCAATTTCAATCATATCTTCATTTGAATATCTCTCCGAGTATGCGTCATGTTAATCGAAATTTGCAATTTAGAGCTTGGGTGATTTTCTAATTACAATGCAAAAAATATTACACATCAAAGTAATTTCACGCAACACTACTTACAAAACTTCGATGAGTTCGTGTACAGAAATGCTTTCAAAATGTATTGATATAAGTTTAATGGACATAGTTATTGGAAGTCCTTTTATGTAAATGAATATATTGCTGATTGACGAAAACTTTAATTATATCTAAAATGTTTGATTTAGAAAGCTCTTTCATAAATCATTTATGTCTCTTTCACATTTTCGTACGATAAGGCCCCGATAATTAAATATTGAAACCATCTAATAAACGTACCACAGGCAATGAACTCGGATTGTCTGTGCCTGACATAAATGATTGGGTAGGTACTTCGTTTTATAGTTATTTGAGCGTCTCAAGTTCCTTTTTAATCTCTTAAAGATGTTATTATATTTTAATAAAATAAGAGTTATGCTAGTCAACAAATACTGGTAGTATTAGGCTAAATGAGCTTCAAATAATATAAAACACATCTAACATTTAACGTACGTTCGGTAGTTCCGTTATATGCCTAATTATGCTCGTGTATGGTTTACTTTAAGTGACGTTTGATGTACGTTACATCAAAACTAATATAGTAATTGATGGTGATCCATAGATATGTGAGGGTGACACCTGTCAGTGCGAACTATTGAAAAGAAACGTTAGCCGCAGCGTCAATGTGTCGTAAAATCGGATTAAAATATTTGTATTAATTTTTGTGCTAAATTTTTTGTAGCGAACGATAGCCTAATGAATTGACTAAATTGATTTGCTTATGCTCGCTGTCCCATATTAAGGGTCCGTATTATACGGCATGTAGCAGATATATGGAGGAGGATGAGTTTACTAATTTAGGAACGCACGTAGCGCGTAATATTTACGATCATCGCGTTCGCGACTAGATTCGAAACACCCTTTGTTAGTACCGCAGCTGTCGCTTCCGGGGACCCTCTGTGCGTCAAGGGCAAACTTTATCAGATTTCGACTGTGCGTTATTAAGGCACACGTGTATACTGTGTACACGCCGCTTTTTTAGTTGAGCGCTATTATTGTGGCGTGCTAACACGTGACAACTAATTTGAATATCGCGCCGGTCTGGAATATTCAAACGACAAAACAGCCGCACTTAGGCAACCTACGGAATTAGCCTCGCTAGCAGGCGCCCGAAACTTTGCGTGTCGCTCAAACACTTATTCGAAATGCGTATTTATATCTTTAACATCGAATAATTTGCCGTTATAATACTTTAAGCTTTTTTTTAACTTTCGTTTTCGTGTACGGCCTGCATTACGTAGGGGTGAATTTCTATACTACTTCGTACTATATCTGATAAAATGATATATGTATAGTGTAATGTAATATTAAATTGTAAATGTAATATTAGAAACTACTGGGGTCCTCGATGGATGCTTTGTTATCCGAGCTTAAATGTACCTTACCTTTGGCATCGGATGACATAGCATCCGATCGAAATGAATCAATATCGGCCGCGTCGCACTAAAGCTACAATAATGGTGACATCATAAATAAGCGTTCTGTCGACAACTTGAGCCGCAAGCTATCTCAGCCTGTTTGGCATTCTACGTCGTATGTATTTTATTTTGTTATTGACAAAAACATTTAGTGAAAACAGGTTCTCTATTTTTACTTTAATGCAATCGATAATATTTTATGGGTCTCAATTTTTAAAGTTCGTTCATTACCTCCGTTTATTAATTAAAACACACTTTTTAAAAAAGCTTCATAAGCTTAAAACTGCAAGACATGTAACCATCTATATAATATCATATTAAAGCAAGCATTTGAGTTAGTTCTCTTCATCTCGCAATTTACTATAATTAATATGACATTTGAAAAACTGAAAAATATTTATTGACGACAAAAGCAATACAAATAAAAAAAAAAAAACAATAACAACTTATAACTCTTATAATCGGCATTTCTTGCAATTTTGAGTTATGGAAAATGACTTGTCTTCAAACCTGCAAGCGACTTCTACCCGGCGCCAAGTTTCGTATGAATATGCTCAAACTCAAGTTTTGGACGCGTATTGGCTAAAATACCACATTTTATACCCTTTTGTGTCAAGTCCATCGTCAATGTGTGCGTATGTGGTATCTTTGAAATGCAGGAAACAAGTATGCTGTAGAAGGCGACATTTTTAAACTTACGATGGTTTTGAACATTAGCCTCGTCAATATTTTCGTTCGGGGACGAGTCAAATAAATTGTTATTTAACGAAAATGCAAAGGCACACAGTGCTTATTGATATAACAATTCAATTGCCCACTAAGTTATGATTTTTTTTTGTTTCCTAACAAAACACTTTGCTTGACAAAGAACGAAGTCGTATTTGATTAATAATTAAATTTCTTAAGTATTTATAAGTATGTATCTCTTATTTTACTATAATGTATAAAGTATTTAATATAGTCTTAATATAGACTTGTACGAACAGAAGTTACCGTTAGAAAGTTACTAAGAGAATGATTTAAGTAGTCGTTCGAAGAGTTTTGTATTGAGCAACAGATTGCCTAGAAATAAACCGACCAAATATTTGAACAATCGACAATTAAATAAGTATTCAAATGCACAAAAAAACGAACCAAACAACCGAATGATGCAAGTTGCATTACGGTGTGATGGGAAAATTCAAATCTTAATTCAATATAGAAGCATTACACTTTCTTATTGATTGTCAAAGCACCAGCAGCGGTTCGGAAACGGAAAAGAAAAGTCACAGACTTGATACGAAATTTTACTACAAATTTTAATGTTTAATCTTAAGTGCAGAGATTAGCAGTATAATAAATTTAAATTTCTAAAAAGCAGTGGCGACATCTCTCGTTCAAATTATCGTTGTAAAACGATATTCTAAATTGTTTGTATGCTGGAAAGGAAATGGCACAATGGATGCGCCAAGCATTGCTTCAAATGCTAAAAAATAATGTAGATAAAAGACGTTAAGATTTTCGTCGGTGTGGCAATCAGCCGTTAAGCTTAGTGGCTACAGCGTCAGGCCGCGAATGACGCAGACGTGGGTTCGATTACCACAGCGGCGACCATCTTTTCGTACTGTTCAACAAATTTTAATAAGAAACGGTTTCTTCTGTACCAATAATTTGGGAACTTTTGATATTCCAGGAGTTGTCAATCGAACGGCTTCTGGAGATGGAGTCCTTAGTGGCGGATCCGAGTGAAGAGTTCCAGTTCCTCCGAGTGGGCCCCGACAGCAACGTGCCGCCGAGGTATCGAGCGCCCGTCTCCAGCCTCTGCCAGATAGGTAAGCGCTTTTTTATTTCATTCAAAATTTGACTGTACTCCTTTCACATTCCAGTTAAGGTGATTTACGACAGGTTTCATTCAATATTCTATCTGTATGCTTATTTGGTTACCAGCAATAGGTAATTGACATTAGATCCATAATGCTCACTTTAATGTAATATTAAGAAGGCTGAACTCTGACACTCACTCAGTGCGAGACGGGGCGCGATCGCGAACTGGTCGCACTCACCCTGATGAGGGACCTCCCGATGAGTCCGAAACTAGTCGGTACATACACCGGGTTTACGTCAGTTCAACCGTCTTAATATTACATTAATAATGTCTCACGAAAGTTTTAATAATTTTAATGCTCACTTTAAAATACTATTTTTATTTATTTATTTATTCATACTTTATTGCACACAAGTAAATACAAAGAAAGAAGATACAGAAAATATAGTGCACTTATAACAGGCGGCCTTATTGCTATGGTAGCAATTTTCTCCAGGCAATCTTAGTGTACCTACAGGATATAGATAATCAAGTTTTGGGATAACGGTGCAAAAATGATTACATTATACATACCTACGTAGAAAAATAAAAACATCAAATATAATGCATACCTATATTTTTTTATTATTACTTTACCTTTAACGGCTGTACTGTCTCAATATTACTTAGCCAGCTATGTGTTTACTAATTCATATAGCGTTTTGTTTTGAGTTTCATTAGAGTCCTTTGTTCAACATCCTGAGCGTTGCATGTTTGACTTATTCACGACGATTTAGTATTGTTTGCTAGCTGTGCCCGCGATTTCGTCCGCGTGGAATTTAAAATAAATAAAATTTCTAAAATAAAAGTGACCTAAATTAATCCTTATTATATCAGTTATGTGCCAGAGAAAGTTAGACAGACAGTTGAACAGAGAGATAGACAACCAATTAAAAAAAAAATATTTTGGTATATCTATAAATCCATATGCATTTAGTAAAAAAGCTATTTTAACATTACAAACAGATACTCCACTTTTATTTATCTGTATAGATAAAAAAAATTTAAACGCTAAACAATTTCAAATATACTCTTGAAGCTGTATTATCTTGCCGAGAACCAGATGAATTTTTACGAACTGTTTTACTACTGTTTCGCACAAGGCGTTCTTATAGGCTCTTCCTCACATTTACGGGAGAATCTTTTTTGATCGTTTCTACCGAAAAAAATTAAACGTGCTGAACATCTATGTGAGAGCACTACGATCGCGTTTGTCACTTATGCGTATAACAGAGATGTAGACTATAAAATAGACGGCGCTATATTTAGAAAATGACACCATCGGCGGTGAAAAGGTTATTGGTGGTGCGGCGGTGCTCATTCAACCGATAGGCCGTAGTAATATGGTATACGAAATCGTTTTATTTCTTCGCCTTTGCGATATCGTTATTGTAACGCCTTTTCCGATGAAAGTTCGCTTCGAAGAATTGCAACGAACCACATCAAAATATCCGTGAAATTTGTAAAATGCATATCGGTACACAACCTTTCGACTTCGTACACCTACGTGATTGGCAAATTAATAGCCGGTTTTTAAGGCGGCAAAAGAAAAAAAATGAGACAAAAATTACGCAGATTGAAGAGAGAGAGAATTTAACTTTTGTCTGACAATTTAAGGGTTGTTTAACGCCGACAATTGTTTACCAGTAAAATGAGATCTTCCATCTTTTGTGTACGCATTATGTTTACTAAATTTTCAAGCTGTCATATTAGAAGTCTAAAGAACTAACACGAATCAAATTTAGTTGTTATTCCAAATTACCATTAATTTTGTAATCATTTTCCTCTATTCAGAGTGATTTACCACGGCGCTTCCGTCTTCGATCCAATATTATATTAATACTAGCTGACCCGGCAAACGTTGTTTTGCCATATAAATTATTTGAAGGGTAGAAAAAAATGTTTGGGGTGGTCCGCCCTTAACATTTAGGGGGATGAAAAATAGATGTTGTCCGATTCTTCACCCTGACCGATATGCACACAAAATTTCACGAAAATTGGTCGAGCCATTTCGGAGGAGTTCAATTACAAACACCGTGACACGAAAATTTTATATATTAGAAGATTAGATAGTGTGTAATTTCGATGAAAATGTTTAATACAAAACGAACTTCCATATGTCATAAATAATATCTAGCACGTAAAATGGAAACAATTTTATGATTCAAGTTAAAAAACAAAAAGGTGAAGGACGTGTGTCATGTTGGTCGTAATTTATTCTTTTACATCTATTGAAACCGGTTTTAAATGTTAGATCCTGCCGTTGTCCTGCATAGTCTGATACAATTCAAAACAATAACAATATGGACAAAACTTTATATAGAGCCTGACCAGAAATATGAGATATCTCTCTTTGTGACGGAAAAAATCACTAATTACTACTTTATACATACTATAACATACAATTAGAACTATACAATACATACAATTAGAATACCGATTGTGCTGCTTCTAAAACAGGTTTTTATTTTTGTTGGTCACGGTATACATAATTATATATAATATAACATAATTATATATATATATATATATATATACACATACACTTTATATATAATCTTTATCGGTCTACAGACAACCTCCGCGCTAACAACGTACTTCATCTTCCAGTGAAAATACCCTTTATTTATGTAATTTTATTTGTTAAGAATTATTTGTGCTGTAATAATTTGGTATTTTTGTTCAATATTTGTGGATGGAGCAAATAATATATTTTACCAATCGCTCACAACGAACGTATCCCGCGTATCACACGATCCTTTTGTTAATTTTAGTTTTGAATAAGAAATTGTCTTGCTGTTATATAAAAGGATACTCGAGGTACGTTTTACATCGACGAAAGTCACGGAACAGATTGAAGGGATCTTACTTTAGCCCTTCCCATAATCGACCTTCAGATGTATTGTTTATTTATAGTCTATAGTATAAGTATATGTATAGTCTTAGATTCATCATTAGATATTTACCTTCGTAGATGCTACTACATTTGGACGCCTTGCTTAGATTATTTTTATAAATGATGTATTTTAACAGTATTCCCGTAAAGTGAAGGAATAATTATTGTTGTGCTATATTCTATTGCAGGCAACAAACAAATAGCGGCGTTGGTTGTATGGGCGAGGGACATTCCCCATTTCGGTCAACTGGAGTTGGAGGACCAGGTGTTGCTTATAAAGGCATCCTGGAACGAGTTACTATTATTTGCCATCGCATGGCGGTCTATGGAGGTAAACCGGTGCAAGGAATATTTCATCAAACACAGTAAATAAGCATTAGTGTAAACAATTAACTTCAAAGCAACATATTAAACTTTTATTATGTTAGCTACATGTTTCTACGTTTAGCAGACAAGATTCCAATATCAGTTATTAACAAAAATTTTAAAACCTTGGCTCCTGATATGAGATAACCATTCGTATTTTGCCGAATCTTTTATTCGTTAGTGTACACTGTAAAAACCATGATTTGGTCGATGTGTTGAGATTCGTTTGAAACCGCAGGGTAAAAACAAGCATTTCCCCCCGACTTCAAAAAGGAGAAAGTTCTCAGTTCGGTGGTTTAATTGTTTGTTATTTCACGTTATTTTACGTTTCAGTAATATTTCGCAATTAAATGTAATGAAATTTTATTATTGATCGTAGAGTAACGAGATGTGACGTTTTGTTTTCAGTACTTGGAAGACGAAAGGGAAAATATGGACGGTACTAGAAGTGCGGCCACGCCACAGCTCATGTGCCTTATGCCAGGTAAAAACATTTTTATCATGATTTTGGTGTTTTTTTTCACAAAGAAAGACTACTACCACAAAGAACAAAATTTTCAGTTATTTTTCTTTTGTTACGCTTAAGAAGTATAACTTCTGAAGTGCTTACATAAGTACACACACAAACACGCACACGCACACACACAGACGCGTACGCACGCCCGCGCTCACACACACTCGTTTATTTTTCGCTATCTCAGCAATTCTGAATGGAATCGGGTCGGACGCTAGATTCGTGTAGGACGTTATTCTTAAAAGTCTGGACTATATCGAGAAGCACCCATGCGCTAAGAGCGGCTGTCCGCGGAAGCTAATGAAGGCAATGTGCTCGCTTCAGGCATGACGCTGCACCGAAACTCCGCGCTGCAGGCGGGCGTGGGCCAGATCTTCGACCGCGTACTCTCCGAGCTCTCGCTGAAGATGCGCACGCTGCGCATGGACCAGGCGGAGTACGTCGCTCTCAAGGCCATCATCCTGCTCAACCCTGGTCAGTAGCTTCATGTGATAAGTTCGTTACCTAGGGATCCGTGGGGTGGGGGGGAGGTGCTTTTAATGAAACAATATCACGTGTATTGATTTTTTTCGTTGGGGGGCGGGGGGGCTTTTTAATTTTAATACTTAACTGAAATTTAAACTGAAAGTGGGCGTACGGTTACCTCGCTCATCAGACGAAACGCGTAAGTGTAACTTAATATTTATATAAATAGAACCCACAAACTAAAGATTTATATATAAACTAGCAACCCGGCCCAGCTTCGAAGTTTTAATGATCTAAGCATACATAGGGACAGACAGACAGCGGGACGACTTTGTTTTTATACTATGTAGTGACACCTGTTGTCGCTTGTTAAGGAAAGTAGTTTATAATAGTTACTACTGTTTATAAATAACAAAAGCATACGTACATTCTTGCTTTAATTTTAGCATACAAATACAAGTATGAAATACAATTTTATTTGTCAGTAATTTTAGTACAATATGCCGATATATCGAATTACAGATGTGAAAGGGCTCAAGAGTCGACAAGAAGTAGAGATTCTTCGAGAAAAGGTAAGAATGTTACCACTTCAATTAAGTATCCATTGATCGTGATAATGAGCGAGCAGATAATAAACATATACTTATGATAAGTATGATAAATAATTTTATACGTAAAGGCGTTATGACTGTCATATGAATTAGTTTTTTAATTATTTTTATTTATAAAAATTACAAAGATACCCAATCAAGCCATTTCGGCTGCATTTTCGTAATTGGGTATAATAATTAATGATTATTATGTTAGTGTTACTTCTTACGTTGTTCAAATATTTCATTGAAAGACGTGGTCGTAGGCTGTAAAGGAAACACACGACGACGCCAAACATTGCTTAAAATGTAATAAAGACCAATTTTATAAAATACGTTGAGATTTTCGCCGGTGTGAAGAAAAGCCGTTTAGCTAGATTAGGAGTTTTAGGTAGAGGGTCGGGCACGTACCTCAGAACGCAGGTTCAAATCCTCGCAACGGCGAAAAACTGTAAATTTTTCTACAAATCCGAGTCCCATCTCTGGCCGCAATAACGCGATATAGCGCCTCACTGTTAACAGTAACGATACTCTCCTGATTGTTTTGGCAACCAGATGGGATAGTGCCGATTTAATCACTTGCACTGTAACACCCGTCTGACTAGCAGACATTAAATTATACTAAAGTTAACATTTTACTAACTTATATATGGATTGTAAAATTATCTGAAATAAAAACATCTAATATATAAAATTCTCGTGTCACGGTTTTTGTAATTGAACTCCTCCGAAACGGCTCGACCGATTTTCGTGAAATTTTGTGTGCATATCGGCCAGGGTGGATAATCGGACAACATATATTTTTCATCCCCATAAATGTTAACGGTGGTCCACCCCTAAATTTTTTTCTACCCTACAATTAATTTATATGGCAAAACAACGTTTTCCGGGTCAGCTAGTTATTATTATATATTATATATAAATATATAATAATAATATATTTATTGGGGGGATATGTATTTGTTTTCTCGTCTGGTTCGGTTTATAAATAAAAATAAACATATAGATATTGTCCATAATACATACATAAATAGGACCCAACCAGACGGAAGCCCCCTCCGCAGGGGAAACGAAACGGCCGAGGGTTAGGGCGAAAGGAAGAGAAACCAGCGGACGGTGCGGCCTTCTTATTACTATTATTAGAACACGGTCTCCATATAAAGGCGCAATTCGCGGTGCGTGTGCAGATGTTCTCGTGCCTGGACGAGTACTGCCGGCGGTCGCACAGCGGCGAGGAGGGGCGGTTCGCGTCGCTGCTGCTGCGGCTGCCCGCGCTGCGCTCAATCTCGCTCAAGAGCTTCGAGAGCCTCTTCTTCTTCCACCTCGTGGCCGAGGGCAGCATCGGCGGCTACATCCGCGAGGCGCTGCGCAACCACGCGCCGCCCATCGACGCCAACTCCATGATGTAAGCGCGAAAAATTTATCTTCGATAACGTTGTCTAAAGTAAGGGCAGTAGCGTTTTCATTAAAAAAGAAAAAAAAATGTCGGCGCGAATTGCATCGCATCTCGAACAGCCGACGACGACCCCAATGGAACAGCGTCGCCGATGCGTTCTGTTTCCTTTTGGCGGTACCGGAGCAGTCTCACTGCAGCTGACACTCGCCCGTATTATATTTCTGTCGTTGAAATTGGTCGTGCCGAGTAATGATACCCCCTGTACAAGTTGGGTATACGATTTTATGCCAGTTTTTTTTTATTATTTAATTTACTTATATAAAATACACCAGCAACTTATTTATGAAAGAGGATTTGAGCCCATAGAGCAGGGAGGCCCTTAGAGCTCTTTTGCCCAGTTTTAGCGTGCAATAGTTATTAGTTTATAATTTCCAGGATATGAAATTACATTTAATATTATTTTCAATGAGTAATATTAATAAATATGGTGTATTTTATGTAATTTTATTAAGGATTAACTTACGAAGGCAATTTTGTAGATGTTATTATACAAACTGGAAAATGAAGAAAAATCACAAAACGTCAAACTGTTGACAAGTGTGTCGTAAATTGTACCTGTAAAATCATGCCTTTTAATATTAGATATAATTTAATTAAAAATAAAGGTATAGTAAATTTATGAAAACATTCAAGTTTGATAGAATTAGTTGAATAATTAATTTTGTTTACACACTCATGAATTGGAGTTTATGTGCAACAAAATGTTAAGGAGTTGTGCTGTTACATTAAACTATTATATTATAGTTTCGAGTTCCTGTTGCCAGATATTTACGAAATAGTTTTGAGTAACCACAGTAATAAGTTGATTCGTAAATAATGTAGTAAATGCGTTGTAATTTTTTAAAATATTTTGACAAAATTTATAAGTAGAAAAAAATGTTTCAGTTATTTAAGTAGCAAGTACTTCGTTTCAGTGACGGAATAAGGTCGTTAACATTCCGTCTCGGCAATAAAAGCCTCAAACTTTATTGGGATTGGGATGTATTCCGTGTAATAAAATGTTCTGTGTTATCTTGTTATATGAAAAGGGTGGGAAGGATATGTCCTTTGTCAAGAAGGCAAGTAGTGACCAGTTTACAAAGCAAGAAAAATGGGGCCGCCTCTTCTGTTATAACGTAATTGTAATGTTTAAAATTGAAATTAATCGTTCTTCTAATAGGGAATTGTATTTCGTTCACTTAGGTGTGATAAGTAAGTTAATGTTAGGAATAGATAATTTTAACATTTACCAAATCTCTTCTTTAAAGCACCTTGGATATAGTATTGACTGTAATCAATTAGTTTTAATATTGAATGATACTTTGTTCATTTACTTGTTTGTTAATGCTTTAAAACAATTATTTAGCATTTTTACATTCTTTACATTTGTTATATTATGCTATGTTGGTGCTTTTAAGATTCACTATTGGCAAAAATCCACTGGTCAGTTGTTTTCTTTTGGAAATATGGTAATTTCTTTAGATATTTCAAATGGATATGATAAACGTGTAAATATAACGCATCATAAGTACAATTTCGATCTTCAATATTTTAAAGAAATTCCGTTAATGTGTATAGTAATATATTTCAATTTTAAGAAGTGAAAATACACAACATAGAATGGCCTACTAAAATAGTTAGCTGTTAATGTAGGCCATATTATTTTTATAGGTTCTTGTGTATTCTTTTATAATATAAACCAAATTTCCATTGATTTACTTATTCGTATAGGAAATCATAAAATTTAATCAAAATTTATATTCTAGACATCTTATTCGCAGAAAATACTGTTTAGTATAAAAAAAAATCATTGGCTGGACTGATAAAAATGGATGAATAGCTCAAGTAGTACGAAAACAACAAGTATACTATGATTAAATTTAAAATTCACCTTGTTTCGGATTCTTAATTGTTGATGACAATTTCTAAATGTTAATGTCTTGATATTGTTCTATGGATGGGTTTGAATTTTATTAAGGAGGTGTTGCAGAGGTTGTGAGATGATTTATAATAATGTTTACTAAATATCTGACTAAATGTAAGTTATATTTTTTGTATAGACATACTTAAGGCTTTAAGATGAAAGGTGATTAAAATAAATCATCACAATAATTATACTGTTTTATTGATAATTATCATTATTGACTTTCATACATTTGTATAAAATCTTACAGTGATACTGAAAAAAAGAAACCAATAAATTGTTTCAATAAGGCACAGCCAAGCAGGATAGAGTTTTATGTAGATAAAATAGGACTATTGCAGGTTCTTCACTTTAACATATATTTTTGTATCCACATAATTATACATTGATAGTACTTAAAATAAATCAGTATTTTTATTTTATAAAATACATTGTGCTTACTTATTAAAATGAGATGCTTCCATCGACTCATAGGCTTCCACCTTGATATTAATTCTGGAAAGATAATAAAATTTTTCAGAACAATTATACCAAACATATTTTCAGAACAATTACAAATTATATTACATATAAAATGATATAATAAATATTATGTTATAACAGTATCAATGTAAATTTGTATTTAAAAATGAAGGCCTTCATAACCATCCTATATCATGATGCGAAGTATAGTAGTCCCAAATTCGAAAACTACAAGCGTCGTAGATCAGATGTACTTACTTTTCGAAAGCGGCCTTTATGTCGTTGACCTTGTTAGGGTGGCATACGATTGCCAGTTTGCTCTGGTCGGGATCAAAGAGGGTGGGCAGCCAACGGGCCGCGGCCGCCTGCGCGTCCGCGGGGGTCACCGCCGCTATCGCACACACCAGGTCCCTGCACATGTGAATAGCGTTAATTGTGTAGACACAACAATTGACATCGACGCGATTAAGGCGCCCATACGCTCTAGTCACTTAGCTCAGTTGGCAAGAGCTTCTGGGCACGTTACCCAGAAGACGCAGGTTTGCCCATTCAGTGTTGAATAACGAAGCCGAACATTTTTCTTTGTTTAAAATTTCAATTTCATCTTGAGTGCAGGTAGCACTAACACAAAATAATTCTAAAATGTGTCCGACCATTATGTGGACTTTGAAATTGAAAAAAAATGAAACAAGCTGACTGTTATTATTTATTTTATATATACTGCTGAATCTCAAAAATCAATCAAATGATGTCCATTTTTGCAATTTTTTCCATTCAATCATTGATATCAATTTTTATACCAATTCAGATTTTGAGCTTAACAATAATCAATTTTCTCCATTTATTTTATTTATTTTCTGTAGTAAGACAACTAAGAAACGCCACTATTCGCGCCGTAGCACTAAAGTACCAAAACAACGCATGGACTATAATAGCACTTTTAGATTACTTCTAAATGGACTTTCTATATGCATTAAAAAAAAAATGTTTTAACATACCTGTTATACATCTCGCCAACGCGTCTGATGTAATTGAAGAGTGATTGTTTTACAACATCAGCTGGGCATTTTTCGTTTTCTACCACCTCAAAGAGTGCTGTGCTCTTTGCCGAAGCGAACAAGTCCTCGTCAAATTTTCCATCTTTTAAATATTCTTCCTATTATGAATTAAGATAATAAATTAGATAATGATGTTACTAAAAAGGATAATAAAAAAAGAACAACATACAATACAAATTGTTTACATTTTTTATTAATGTTTAAAAAAAGTAAAGTAACAGTCTATACATGTCTATACATGTACTGGGGATTGGCGGACTTCACATATCTTCGAAATATTTTTGTTATAATTTCGAAAATATACAGTTTCCTCACGATGTTTTCCTTCACCGCGGAGCACGTGATAAGACAGCACTTAAAGTTAAAAACTTCATTGGCACCGGGGATTGAATTCAGGTTGCTTGAGTACATTGAATTAAAGGCGAGCGTCCAGACACTGAGCTATCACGGCTCTCATGTTTAAATAATGTATTCAATTAACTTTAAATGTTTAATAATGGCAAAAATAATTTTGTTTCTCATTAAGATAAATAAAATGACCTTTTAATTTAATTCAATTGATATTAGAAGTTTAAAATGAAAAAGTTTTTATTTAAATAAATTTTATGATTAAATATAACATATAAAGTATAAAAGCAAGATTTTAAGTAATATTACATTACTTCTACATAACTTTTAAATAATCTAATTTCATCATTCATCACTACTATTGTATACAAGGCAATTTTTTTAATGTCAGTTCAAGGCATTAAAAATAGCCAATTGCATTAAGCCAGTTGCATATTAGGTTATGCTGAATAGCTACTAAATAGGAAAAAGAGAGAATAAGTAGTGAGAGAGGCAGAGAAGAAAGTTACCACAATGGTCTTGGCCTTGGTGTAGGCTGCAACGGTGTTGGTGGCGCGGTAGAGCGAGAACACTAGTCGGCCCTCTGCTGCAGCAGAACGCACTCCGTACCCGTAAGAGAGCCCACCTCCACGGATCAGTCTCCACATTGGACCCTGAACGGAATCAGCAAGTTCATTCAAGCACATACATTAATTAGACAAACAACTAATGTATCAGTTTTTTTTTAAAGAATACATATCTTCTTCTAATTGGTATTGGTTATTTTTAAAGATTATTCTATATGAAATAATAAATTAAGTGAAAGGAGTGTACTCTGATGAAGCTTTCATTGAAAAAATGTAAGATTTATTAATGGACAGTGATTTCATATAAGCATAAATTTAGAATTTCAAAACTTTAACTTTGGACAGATTTAGACTGTCCAAAGTTAAAGTTTTAATCACAAATTAGAAAAGAACTAAGCAAGGAACAGTTTTCCGAAAAGCCGAGATTTCCAGAAAGACTAATCAATCATCATCATCACAGGCCTCCAGACTGCTACAAAGCATGATCCTGAGCCACCTGCAACCATCGATTGTGGCACATTTGTACAGGTCGTCACTCCATCTACGTCGCATCGTCCTACTTTGTCTATTGAAATACCAATGTCAAACTCGCATTGATCCAACTGGTTGTAGGGTGTAAAGCTAGTAAGATTTGGATGGACAGTGTGAAGTGTGATATGTCTGAGATATTGAGATGACTACCTGATAGAGGATAGTGGAAGTATAGGACGTGTTCTGCCGACCCACCCCACCTAGTGGTTTTTTGTTTTATTTTTTTACGGACAAAGGGGTAAACGGGCTCACCTACTCGAAAGTGATCACCGCCGCCCATGAACAACCGCAACGGCCTAGATCTTGCAAATGCGTTACCGGCTTAGTGGGGGACAAGGGCAGTAGAAAGAAGAAGAGAAGCGTGAAACTCACCTCGAGCTGAGTGAAGTAGTTGAGCGCGACTAGTAGGGGAGCGGTGTCGGCTAGCCCGTAGCCCAGCGGGCCGGGGCTGAGCTGCACCACGAACGAGGACTCTACGCCGCCCACGCCCACCACGAAGCCGCCGCCCCAGCCGGACATCAGCTCCGCATCCCAGTACAACTTGGGCCTGTGTAGAGTTCATCAACAAGCGTAAGCCAAGAAATCGTTGAAATCTGTAAAAAAAAGGATTGGAAGTTTTTCGTCCCTGTGTGAATAGATTTGCTTGAAATGTGAAACAGTGATACAGATAAAACGTTTGGATACTCGTCAGTGTGGTAATCAGTCAAGCATAGTGGTTAAAGCGACTGGGCCCAAATCCAAAATGTGGGTTTGATTACTGACTGCAAGTACAAAAACTTTTCGTCCATTTTTTGTTCAAATTTTAATGTATCATCTTAAATACAGAGATAATCACTATAAAAATAAATTGTTCATAGATCGACCGATCTACCCATCAGGGAGACATAAAAGATTGAAAATATAAATGATTCCGTTACTAAATAGTAGACACACTATAAGCATTGATCACTGTTTAGAGTTTAGACAATTTTTCCTTACTACAAGATCTGATAGAGCATGGGAATTTAGTGAAAAGACATTTGCAATTATAAACAAAAATTAAGAAAGATTTGGTTTTACACAAAATCATTGGCGTAAAACCAAAAGATATAAGAGTGTTATCAAAATTTGCTTACGGTATTGGTGTGATCTCATTCTCCCTAGCGAACTGCTTCCATGGTTCCGTGCGCAGAGTGTATCTTTTGAAGTCGGCCGCTATGTGGAGCCAGGCGTTGCTGACGATGCTCTTGAAGGTTTTCTTCGCTTCATAAAGGGCAGCCTCGGCGGAGTCGCCGCCCGCGTTTAGTTGCTCTACCAATTCCTTGAGGAATTTCTGCTGCCGTAGGACTGCGCTCCAGTGCATGTTGCTGTCCTTGCAGTACAGGGCGTCACGCAGAGTGTCGTATACCATCTTGTGACCGTTCCGACGCACCTGTGTTAAAGATATTACAATAAGTATAAAAATAAATTAAAGATAATACAATATAAAAGTCAGTGCAATTCAGAAAAAAAGGGCATTGCTTGAACCAACCAGAAGCGGTTGAATAAAACTTCTACAGAAAATCCTGGTTTAGGCTCAATATTTGTCTAAACTGACAGATGTTAAAGTTCTTTAAAAAATTATGGTAGTATTAGAGTTGTCTAGTATCTTAAGAAAATAATTAATATTATAAATGCATTTGAAATTTAAATATCGTTATTTAATTAAATTAGTTTCATGGTCTAGTTTAAATTTTGGTTACCTGTGCACTATCATTGATAAGCCTCTGGGCGAATACTAACAGTCGCTCCTTTGTGATTTCGGGCGAGTAGAGCACTTCGTACAAGTGATTCACTACTGCCTCATAGTCCGTTGGTTCGCACTAGAGTAAAAAAAAAACAAGACTAAATGAACTGCACAAAATAAAACAGATCTTCTAAGAAACAGAGAATCCACTTAATATGAAAACAATGCCAGAACACTCGAAACTTCTGCTCGTTTATCGTCGTTGCGGTACACCGCAAATTTGCACCGTTCTTAGTTACAGATTAAACTGTTGTCCACCAATCCCACCTACTTTTGATAACAAGTAATCGTAACTTAAAGTAAGCATGTTTACATTTATAAAGTCTCTAGAACTGAAAGACATAACATCATCCAAAAAGATAGCAGTGCTTCCCAAACTTATTTCGGATCCAACCCCAAGTAGAAAGAACCCCAACTGAGTTAATATTAATGAGCTATATAATAATTTTTTCTTCTTCACAGATCAAATAAATTTCCCAATTGCATATCACTATCAACATTCTCTATCATAGAATCCCAAGTAAATTAATATTATAATCTAACATTAACATTAATGGCTTGGGTGATCCATAGTTTGAATGAATGATACTAGATACCTAGATATCTAGTACTCAATTCGGCGCAGGGCCAGGTAATATGTTAGCATTTAATAATGAAATTAAACGCTACCATATTAGCTGGCCCTGCGCCGAATTGAGTACTATATATCTAGATATTTTGCTACGAAGGGGCATTTATCTTGAACTACATCAAAACGTGACCAAGTAACAATCATAAGGAGTGTTATTAAAACTGTTCCGTACCCTGGTCTCGATGTGCACGAAGTTGCCGAACTGGCCGACGGCGAAATTGCCGGGGCGGTCGAAGCCGATGTCGTTGCTGAACATCACGGTGAGCTGTTCCGTCGTGGAGATGACCTCCTCGTGGGGCACGATGACGTCACCGCGCCGCACCGCGCACTCAGCGAGCCCGTTCAGGTGCAGCGTGAGCCACTTCCGCGCGCTCTGCTCCGCGTCCGTCATGTCCAGAACTAGGTTTATCTGAAATCGGAACCCGAAGCCATCATCTTCAAACAACAAGTCATTTTTTTATGTGAAAAGCTGGCAAGAGAGTTGGCGTAGGCCCCGTAGGGATGCAGATGTTTTGCCACCTTTATATAATGTCTATTTCGAGACATGTATGTTATCTCACATCTTGATGATATATATTTATCTATCAATAACATAATTTAACTAATTTACTCAAATTACAATAAAAGAAATGCAACCATTAAAACATACTTACATACACAAAGTTGGTCTTAAGATAATGCAATCTCGTGAACAACGGAACTTCTTTGAGATTGAAGTAGGGACAGGGCTGCCCATCTGTGCTCCAAGTGGAGATGTTGTGGCACTTAAAGTTGTCGCACGACGGCACCGGAACTGACGCCAGCATGCCAGGAGGCGGTGGCCGCTGAAATTCATAAATAGAACAGTTCAGTTTAAGGGTTGTTATGTTAACCCATCACAGTATTGGAATAAGAAAACAGTTCCAAATCATCTTTTTGAAATCAACCATAGTAAGAAAGTGAGTTAAAAAAAGGATACCATTCATGAATGACATTGACTGCTTTAGTGCCAGATCAAAGATTACCTTGATCTCATCAATAATACAACAACAAGATACTAGTGAATGATGTGCATGTATATTTGCAAGGGTCATTGATGTTGTAATGCTATGTGTGGAGGAGCCCTATTAGTATAGTATAACTTATACCATTTTGAGGCATCATATAAATTAGCATTTGACTGACAAAATATATTGGACTGGCAACTAAGTAACTGTGGATTTGTTAAATGAAATAAAAGATATTTTTTACTTCAAATGAACTGTAATCTATAGTGTCTTTTCCATTTCGTGACTGAGTTAAGAGATATTTTACAGCATCATCATCATTGAAAGTTTTGAACAATTGAAAGTTGTGAAGTGGTAATCCGATGGCGCGAGGTCAGGCCTATACGGTGGGTGTAACATATCATTTCTTTCCACTCGTAAATAATAAATATGGTGAATAGTTCGTTTTTGCACTCCACATTGATATTGAGGTAAACAACATTTTAAGAAAATATCTACGAAATGAACTTATAAAGCTAGGTAAGGATGACTGGTAACATATAAGATGAAGAAAATTCATCAAGATAACATTCACAGATATCATAAATAAGATTGAGAAACATGACTGAAATCCTCAATGACTTAGTTGCCAGCCTAATATTTTTATTTGGTTTAGTGATGTACAAAAATAATTAACATAATTGTAGTATTAACTAATTATGTAAATTGTCCTGCACACTATAATTATTTTTTTATTTATGTTGAGTCACCTCATTGAATTCCATTGCTTGTTCTAGTTGTTTCCCCTTTTCTACTAAACCGGCCTCGCCAAGCTTCTCCCTTTGTGCTTCTATCCTCTTTTTTTCTTCTTCAGACATTCTAGAAACATAAGTTGATATTATTTTTATTTAAATATTACAGATTCATGATACACTATTATTATACCGCACACTTACTTAGTTTGAAGCTCTATACTCGGAGAGCCAATAATGGTAACAGATTCTTCAGTGAAATACTTTCTGAGAAGTTCCATCCAGTAATCTGTGGATTCTTCCAGTAGTTCCAATAAAACTTGTTGAGGGTTCATCCGTGAAATGAACTGTTCAAAGAAAGAAAAAAAGTGTAATATATAACTTTTTCTGGTGATGAGACTTTAAATTGGGCTGAAAAATCTGTCCAGCTATTTCAAGTCCATAATATATACATGAATAAACCCATCGGTTTCATACAAGTGAATAAGTTTGCTTGGTTTTCATAATTAATTATTAAAGTATGTTTAAACTAACTTTTACTATCTACAGGGTGGTTTTTCTAAGTGTATCCATTTTTTTTTATTAAATTCTAGACATAAATAATGTTATATAAAAAATGATAAATATTTAAAATCACTCTTAAGGAATTAATTACATTCATTTGAACTTATCTCAAAAAGTGCATGACATATATGCAACTCATTTATTTTACGCGCGATCATTCATAACTAACACGCACACAAGTTCGTGCACAGTTTTTTATTTCAATAAACGATTATATTCACGATTATACGAGTTTCAACCTCCTGTGTAAATTTGGGCACTTCTCAAAAAATCTCCCTCTATAAATCCACTATTTTCGGTTCCGCAAGCCATAATTGAAAATTAATTAACTTTAAAAATGTCACCCACCAAAAACAAATCCGTCATGTTTATAAATTTTATATTGTTCAGCATTAGTTTTTTTTTAGTTTGAGCGTAAATAAAACAGAAATTGATTTTGAGTTGCCTTACAGAGCAAACTTTGTTTTTTGCGCCCCGTACTCACGTCGCGTTCGTTTTGCGAGTAGAGCGCGTCGCCGATGCAGCGGAAGGCGACCGCCTGGTGCGGATCCGACTCGAGGCTGGCGATGCTCTCCCTGAGCTGCTTGCGGAGCAGCCGCTCCAGGCGCCTGCTGTCCAGGGGCTCGTCGCCCGAACGGACGGACGCTAGGCACCTGCGCGCCTCGTCGCGGGCCGCTTCCAGCTTCCTCACTGGCACGTTGTCCAGCTCGATCTTGATCAGCGGCGCCAGGTTCTCCGTCAGGTTGTAGGAGACCTGAGCGATCAAAGCAAAATAGCCATATTTGGTTACGGGTTTGGAACAGGTGCTCTTTACTGACGTATTTTTTTAAACGTGACAGACGCACTGGTGGTCTTATGTGTTAACCGCTGCATATGGACATTCGCAATATCCGTAAGGTTGGCAGCTGCGTTTTCATTATATATATGTAAAACTATACACAGCGTGTCGTTACAACCGCGACAATAAATGAACACACATATATACTTTTTAAAATTGTATTAAGCATTTACATTATTTAAACATCAATATTTACCGAGTTATTAAATTAATGATTCTTTAATGTTTCAAAATGGTTATCATTTATTGCTTAGGTTGCCTTTTTAACAGATGTATTCTTTGAGAATGAAATATAAATTAATAAATTAACTTACATCACCAGCAAGGGCATCCTCCCTTTCAACGAGACAACGCTGTAATGGAGCTGCAGCCGTGTCGCAAAGGTATCGCAGAAGAACGGCACATGCAGTGAGATCCTTTATTGCTGTTTTTTCTGTCAAAAGTGGGCCCCGCCATCCAAATAGTACCTGCAATAATTATATTAGAAATATGCATATGTAATTTATAATGACTACTACTTAGATATTATATGCCTACATGGAAAAAATATGATGATAAATCACTTTTTGCACAAATGCAAACTGACATCCATTGTCCAAGTGTGGTACAACAATACTGTGACAGGTTGTAAAGGTTTGTATCTCTTTCTCTAAGGTAACAGAGAAAAGCTTATGACAGCATGTTAAGGAACTTTTAATTTTTATGGAACAATATTTGTTATTCCTCACTTCTAGTACATCTGTTAGGGAGATGTAATTGGACAAATTGTAAATAGTCCAATATGTATAGTTGTAGGTACCTGTCCACAATCTTCAGTGTCGGCTGGCCACTGTTCTGTATATTCGCCATACAGTGGTGCAGGTGGTACAGTCTGCCATGGCTTGACCCATTCTTCCAATGGCTCTTTTTCCCTCTGCAAAAATACCAATTTGGATGTACTTAATATTATTAAGGTGTTATCACTATGTATGAGAGGAACAATCTATAGCCTACATATATGTACTTAAAAACCACATACTTGAAAACAAGAATAACAAATAACTAAGTATAATCAATTACTAGTGATTAGATAGGTAAAGCTCAAGTCAATTATGACAATGTGGCTAAAACACAAACATTATCAATTGTACTGAGCATAAAAAGCAAGCAGAAGTTATGTTGGAAAATAGCACATATAAAAAGACCAGCCAAGTGCGAGTCGGACTCGCGCACGAAGGGTTCCGTATCATTATATATACAAACGGCAAAAAATCACGTCTGTTGTATGGGAGCCCCACTTAAATATTTTTTATTCAACTTTTTAGTATTTTTGTTATAGTGGCCACAGAAATAAATCATCTACGAAAATTTCAACTGTCTTACTGTTACGGTTCGTATCAGCCTGGTGACAGACAGACAGACAGTCGGACGGACAGACAGATGGACAGACAGACAGACATACAGCGGAATCTTAGTAATGGAGCCCTGTTTTACCCTTTGGGTAAGAAACCCTGAACAATAAATCAAAATAGATGATTTATTTAGTGCCATGTTCTATTAGACATACATAATCAATTAAAAAAATATATAATTACGATAATTGTTTACAATAACTGCACACACTTTTTTTCTTCTACAAATATATATATATGAAAAAATTACAATTTTTTAAAAAAATATATATATTTATTGGATAATCTATTTGAAATATTAATTAAATTATGAGTTACATATATTTTTATACAGATTAAGTATCTTGTTCTCAGACTTACCTTAACTATGATGTCATCTTCCACTACAGACAAAGCTTTAAAAACATCATGGTCAGCAATTTGTCCAGTGAGAATTATTGTGAGGTTTTCAGCTCTATAGAACTTTTTATGAAAATTTCTTACCTGGAAATAAAAATAAATTATAAATCAGATTTGTGTATGAAAGGTATGTTTTTTAAAAATCGCTTTTTATAATTTTCTATTTCCATCTTACTTTGGTGTTGTTTGTGGAAGTTCTCAGATTTTCCATAATACCTCCAGTTTCTGATGAGTAGCCACTATTCGGGTACATAGCACGTAACATTCTTATTTCACATCTGTTAACAAAGTATGTAAGAACTTACTTGATGTTGAAGTAATGACTATGTTATACATAATCTATAGAAATTTTAATCCCTATAGGATGAACAAATATTTATTTATGATAAGACAACTTTAGAGTAAGTTATATTTGTAATTTTTATATTAGTTATATGTGTATTAGTTAAGGTAAAATTTTAGCAGGCTACTACTTCAATATAGCAGGAACACACAAAAACCAAGTTAAATGATGGAAAACTATAAAGTAAAATCACAAAAATCCAACTCAAAGCACCCCAACTCCGGTCTTGTGGTCCCCCAAAGTGTGAACATAGGAAAGGCAGAACCAGAATATTTAAATGTTCTGGCGAAGCACATGGAATAGGCAAATTAAATAATAATATTTTTAAAACGTGTTATTATTTGGTATATTGAAGTAGTAGCCTGCTAAAATTTTACTGTTGTATTACTTAAGAGCATTATTTGAACAGACCTACTATCAGCCGAATTCTCACGGCCTTGCATTTCACAATACACCACCCCAGCATCTTCTCCATCTGCATCAATATGATGGACTTCCGTAATAAACCCTTGATCTGTTAGGGTAGGCCTTAGAATATGATCAAGGTAAATTGGAAGCAAGGTCAACATTCCTTCATCACCAGCAGTATAGATGGTATAACAAGTGTGATCAGTGTCAGTCCAAGCGTTTGTTCCATGAGCCATACAGCGATTGGCTAACAAATCTAAGATACCCTTGTAAGGATAACGTTCCGATCCCAAAAAAATTAGGTGTTCTAATGTATGAGGGAGGCCATCGTCATCATGAGCTTCAGTGGCTAAAAAGCAAGTATTATTCGCATTTAATTACAAATATATATCTATTGAAAAATTCCTGTAAATAAAATATATCGTATATTAAAACAGAACCAACCGGTAGGCAACATTCTTTACCATATTTAAACAAATAAAATTATTTTACTGTATAGGTATGGTAATATTTTGGTAATTGGATATATTTGAAACCTTACCAAGACAGAAAAAACCATTCACGACAGGTCCTTCTACGTCGGCAATAATAATTTTCAAGCCGGTCTTTTCAGACACGTACTTTTTAACAGGCACAACATCTGAAGCTTTAGTTGTAGAAATTAATTTAAAATGAGACATGTTCTTAATTATTGAATGTTCTATTTCTAAATAAAAAGAATATTAATATAAAAGGACCACAATATCCGAATCTCAACAACCGGCTTGAGGTTGCTTTTTTGAAGTTTGGACTTGTAAACGATGACAATTGTTGAGTTGAGTTTGACAAATTTGAACTTGAACTTTGAAGTGAAGTGCAGTGTGGTATTGCTATTACCTAATTTATGCTCTTCTAATCGATGTTAACTGTATAAATAACTTCAATAAAAGATAACTACATCTGAATCAATGCTTTCGTTAATTAATATGGTTATTTTTCGCTCTATACGATCATCACGTTTTATTCAGTTCGTATATAAAGAATATTACTTTATTCTTTTTATTTAATGCACGCTATTTAATTCGATTCCTTTAAAAACTTCGTTGAAAGAGGCCCGATTTTTGAGCTTAACTTCGGTGAAGAACTGGTATTATGGTAGTCTCAGAGCCACTAAGTCGTATTACAGAGTGATTTCTGTTGGAGATTCGAGCCTACAATGTTATGTTAAAATAAATAATCAGTATTAGTAAGAACTGAAATGCTGCAGGTACCATGCCAAGGTAGCGGCAGGTTCGACAAAAAAAAGACAAATAACAGAAAAATATATAAAAGTATTTCCGTTTTTTGTTGGTTCTGAAACCACTTCCTGTAAAGCACAGGCGAAAATCCCGAAATTGATGTCACTGAAATACAGTAGAGGGTAGTAGTAGAATAACTTATTCGGAGCCTTAAAGGAATACATTTCTTATCGACTTTTTCAGGAAGCCATTATAGAAATGCGTTTTTTAAAAATTCAGGACGTCATTATGGTAACTGGAATAAAACTAATTCATTGTTGCTATCTATTGGTTTATTTTATCATGACTATTTACGTGTGCGTTAAGTAATTCAAGTTCAGCTTAGTTAAATTAATTGACATTTGTCCAATAGTTTTTCATGATGCGCGCACGACGGCAGAACTCTGTTACTTTATTTATATAGATCCACAGGTCACACTAAAAGTTTCCGGAACTGGCCACTTAAAACAATATATAAAAAGTAATTACAAAACTCGTTCAGCGAGTTATGGACCGGGACATGATATGCGGGATATGTGATAGAGTTCGCAACGAAGACATCCGCAGTAGAAGCAAGAAGAAGAAGAAAAGCCAACCGACATAGCTAGGTTAATAAGCTTAAGTGACGATAGGCCGGCCATATAGCTCGTAGAACTAATAACCGTTGGGGAAGAAAACGTTCTCGAATGGCAGCCTTGTACTGGCCATCGCGACTGGACGACCCCCCACTAGATAGAGTGACGACCTGTGCAAGTGTGCAGGAAGTTTATGGATGCAGGTGGCTCAGGATCGTACTTCGTGGCAGTCTGTGGGGGATGTCTATGTTCAGCAGTAGACTTAAACATGCCGAAATGATGATGATTTTGATTCGATGAATTACAATATTTGACAAGGTACTCTTTGTAGAATGCAGTTTGTTGACTGAATGTCGATTGTTTTTACATTGTGCCATTTTAAAAATTGCGTGTCTACATTAACATGGTTTTAGTCGGGAAAATTTTCGTAGTATGATTTTTTACGATTTGAAGTGTAATTTGAAATTCAGCAGAGCCTCACTCGGCTCCAATCTGTTTTTGGCGATGAAGAGGAAGACCATGCCAGACACAAGGGCGGATCCAGCTTTGGTGCCAGGGGTCACGTAGTCGTGGTCAATTGATAAGAAGTTATAATTAAATTTTTATAATCATAGGTACAAGTAAAAAGTAGGTATTTTTAAACGACTTCAAAAAGAAGGAGGTTATCAATTCGGATGTTTACATTTTTTTTATGTATATAACATAACTTTAACATAATTATGGGCATAACTTCGTTATATATCGACGGATTTGCAAAATTCTTTTTTTGTTCGTAACAATACGTTGCTTTTTATTGTCATATATTATACAGGATGGCTTTTATAAAGGTGCCCAAATTTACACAGGAGGTTCAAACTCGGTAGTTTAACCGTTTATTGAAATAAATATAAACTTTTCTATAACTAAAATGGGCATTCTATTCCCTAAAAAACAGAACTTGTTGACAATGCGGTAGTCATTTATAAATGCGTCGTATACTTTTGAAACGAACTTGTCTGCGTGTTAGTTATGAATGATCGCGTTATGTCCACGTTAATTTTTTTTTCATAAATAACAAAAGAAATATTTATTCAGTCATTCATGCATTCATTCATAATATTCAGCGTTCGTCCATCTAATCCATCTAATCACAGACAGAATCCACATTCATACCAACGGAACGAACAAACTTTACTTCCCAAAGATGGGGTCGCATACTCACGTCCACTAATCCACCACCTCTCACCACCCGTCAAAAACGGTCCACCCATTAAGACGAATCAAACTCGACGCAGTTAACACAACTGCCTTAATTACTGAGTTCCTATGGCCACATTCCAGCTCTGTCATCAGACCCTGGTTACCATCAAGCACTAAAGAACTCGTCATGTCGAATCAAACGAGCCGAGACACAATAGGGTTGCGTCGTTTGTTTACTGAGGAGGTATATATGACTATCTTCCAGCTCCATCATCAGATCAGACCCTGGTAACATCTAAAAATTAAGTACTCGCCAAGACGAATCAAACGAGTCGAAACTCGATGGGGTCCAGTCGTTTCATTACAGAGTGATCATAGGAACCTCACAGAATAGACCTCACAGAAGATCGGCGTAAAGTACTTCTGAGTTTTGTTTGGTGAATGAGGTAGCTGGAGCACACTTTATTATAAGGAGAAAACGCATCTGCAACCCTACGCATATGTCCATGGACGTCTGAAGATGAAGCTCCATCATAAGATCCTGGTTACTTATGAAATTAATTAATTAATTTATTTGTTTATTTATTTATTTATCTAAGTGAAAGACAAACTACTCGTCAATACGATTCAAATGTACCCGAACGCGATGAGGCTCTGTCGTTTCATTGCGAAGTTCCTTTTGCCACCTTCCAGCTCCATCATCAGATCAGCACCATGTCATAAAAACATTGCATTGTCTCGCGATTTACACATGTATAAAAAATTTCAGCTCAACCGGTAACCGGGAAGTAGATCAAATTTGATTTGCAAGATTTGATGACAAACATTAAAATTTTGTACAAATGTTCATAAAATTAAAACTACTTGGCCATTTTACAAACTATGGTAATTTTTTATGGGTCAAAATGGCAACTATACTACATCAAACTAAAGAAGAATCACGTAAATCGGATCATAAATCTCAACGTAATCGGTGTACATACATCGAAAAACAATATACCAATCGAATTGAGAAACTCCTCCTTTTGAAGTCGGTTAAAAATATTATATTAATTTAATTAAATATTGAAGGTACTTACATAAAATCTAAATTGTGGCAAACAATATATAAAAGTATTATGTTTAACCATTTTAATTATTGGTCCACCTGGGTCCTGGACCCAGCCCAGGGGTGCCCATGACCCCCATGACCCCTGGATCCGCCCTTGGCCAGACAACTATTTATAACTTAGTGCGCGGTGGAGAGGGCGCTACTTGAACGTACATACATCGTCTCTGAACATAAAATAAAATTAAAATTTAACAACGCATTAAATTCATTCAAAAAGTACAGTGTTAGTGAAACGTAAGTGAAGAATAGCAGTGAGAGTGTGGACTACAGGAAATCTGATCAATTACCTAACAAACAAGGTCAAAACGTTGGGTGCATGATTATTTTGCGAATCTCTCACGAATTCAGTGAATTAGTTGCAGGCAGTTTGTGAATAAAGCGGTGAACTAAGTGCTACAATTTTAATTTTAATATTCTACAAGAAATCACAAGCTAAGTACCTAAAGGTAAAATTAAATTGAGTTCACTGTGATTTGATACAGTCGGTAGTCTTAGAATAATAAGCACCGTCTTTACTTTCAACAATATACAAACTCGACTTTACTAAAAGCAAAATTTACTGTCTACGTAACAAGATAAATAGCTCAGTTGACAGACGAGAGCCCCCAAACTGCAGTACCCGAGTTCGAATCCCATCCGACGTCCATTACACTTTTTGTTCATTATTCAGTTACTTTATAAAATTAATTGAACACAAATATAAGTAAAGTTATTTGGTATCATAAGTTAATAACAACAATTGCCTTCAATAATGAATATTCAAAGATGCGCTGGTTGGCCTAATACTTTAAAAGGAATATCGTTCTTAAAGTGCTGCAGATGCTCAGACAATTACCACTACTACACTTGCAAACAAAAAAGAGGATAACAATAATTTGACTAAAGACTTCAAGGAAACCTGGGTGTGTCCATCTTGCCGTTGTAAGGAGCCCAAACGTGGCGACAATTCAAGTACACCAATTCGTTCAACATCAAAGAACCCTGATATTTCTGTAGTATCACAATACGAACACGACAACGTTACTGTGCGCTCAGGACCACGTAGTGTTTCTCGTTCCTGTACTTGCTTATCCGCCGATATTATACGAGAAATAATTAGAGAAGAGCTAGATCGAAAATTCAACACAGAGGTGAAGGAGATAAAATCAAAGCTGTACAATTTGGAGCAATCATTAGCCTTTTTCACTGCAGAACAGTCCAAGATTACCAGTGAGTGTGAGACACAAAGGGCTGCAATTGTAAAACTACAAAAAGACAACGAGTTATTACAGAGCACTGCCAAAAATCTGGGTCATCGCCTAAATCAATTTGAACAGTTATCTCGTGCAAACAATTTAGAAATACAGTGCGTACCCGAACATAAAAACGAAAACTTGTATAGCATAGTACATCAACTCGCTAACACAATTAAGTGTCCAATAACGGACTGCGACCTGCAATACTGCAATCGCATCGCGAAATTTAACACCAGCAGTCCTAGGCCACGTTCGATCCTGGTAAAATTTGGCTCTCGTCGACTACGTGACACTTTCTTAGCTGGTGTGATTAAGTACAATAAA